CCATCCATCCATCCATCCATCCATCCATCCATCCATCCATCTCAGCACACCTTGGTTCAATTATTTATGAACTCAACCATTATTTAACAGCTTTCTCTGCACTATGCACTAGATAAAAATTTAGAAATGTAAAGATTCATCCCCTGCTATCTGGAAGCTCATGGTCTTATGGAAGGAAAGACAAATAGAAATTTTCAATTCAATGTGATAATGTTATGACAGATGGAAGCACAGGGTTTGGTGAGAGAATAAGGTCATTTGTCTTGAAAACTGCAGGTGCTGAATAAATAGCTATGGAATAGAAGGGCCATGAATAATGGAAGGAAGGGATGGAAGGAGGGAGGGAGAAGGGAATTTGCACTGATAGTACTGGGCTCAGCATGGTCCCTTGGAGACGCCTTGAGTGAAGAGCAGGCATAACCAGGTGAAGGAGGTATGGAGCCAGAGGCCGCCGCTGTGTACACATGCGCCAGCACGCAGGGAGAGCAGCCCCTTCCTCGGAGGGACTGTGGACGAGGTGAGGCTGAAAGGCCATGGGAACTCCTCCGGGGTCGTGCAGGCCTGGGAGGAGAGGGTCTTCGTGCCCCACCTCACGAGCACCCTGCAGTCTGACCGCCCCTGGCAGGAAGGTCAATGCCACAGGGTGGACTGGAGGCCACCTAACCTCACACTTCCCTCCTCAGGCTTCTTGCCCAGGACCACAGGGGCCTTGGCAGGACACATCCAGGGCACGGACTTGGCTAGCAGGAACAGGCTGGAACTGGATGAAGCTGGTTTTGGCCTTGTGCACTGTGGCTAATGAATCTAAGTCTGCAGTGCCATCGCCTTCTCATTAGGGGTTTTTAACTAAAAACAAGGACCTAAAGAGATCTGGGTTTACACAGCCGTTTCTGGTCTTTATTGGCATGCAAGAAGTGAGTCACAGGCTCGGCTGTGGCTGGCCTGGGCCTGAGGCTGAGGCTGGGTGGAGGGCAGCCCACTGCCCGGTGCTGCCGGCCCAGCCAGCTCCCTCCTCCGCAGCCTCCCATTCGTGATGCAGGCACCAGGCCAGCGAGCACCGTGGCTTCACGCTCTTGCCCAGAAACAGCCTCTGCTGGCCAGCACCAGGGAAGGAGCCTCGGCCTGCCCGTGTGGGCTTCCGCCCAGTGCACAGGAGCACCCGTCTCCCTGGGGCTGACCTGAGAGGGAAGGTGCGAAGGGAGAAAAGACAGCAGGAAGGCAGGAGGGTTGTAGGAGGCTGGGTCTGCTACTAGAAGTAAACTCAGAGCCGAAATTCTTCCCTCCTATTTCTAGTTATTACTGTTGATGTTGAGAGCATGTTACAGGTCAATAAACATATGCCAAATTCAGCAAGACATACAATGCACCACTGTATCCATGCACAGGTCCAGTGACATCATCGCAAGGACTTCACCCTTCTTTTAGGAGTTGTCCCTGCCCCACTGACACACTCACTGCCTTCCTAGCTTTCCTTTCTTCTTCTTCCTTTGAGCTGTTGTTTTCAACTTGATCTCAGACTGAAAGAGAAAATGTTCAAGGAAGACATTTGTTTCTAGTTAAGCTAAACTATTGTTTGGTTTTAAGGTTTAAGGGAATATTTTTGTCTTCTGGTTTCAAGATTGTTTCAGGGCAAGTTTCAGAGATTCGTGGGGCCTCTGGCTGCAGGAAACCTGGACTCTGCTGTTGCTGCCATCTGTGCCGAGTCCGGAGCTGACTCAGAGGTGAATTAGTTGATCCTCCAGCAGTTCAGGGGCTGTGAACTGCACAGGACAAGTTGTCCATCCTCCGGCTGTGCAAACGCGGGTGGATTCGAACCACATGTCTTCAAATCAGCGGAGTGACTGCTTAGCAGGAGACCATCGGAATTCCCTGGATTCCGTTCAGATTTGAAATTCAGTCTTGCATTTTTCTCCTATTTGATCAGAATTCTCCTATAGAACCTTTGATTTAAATGTTTAGTAATGGTGGTTGCGGAAATTCTTAAACTGCCCTCTGATTGAAATAATTTCGTCATGTTTTTGCCTGCATGTCCCCAGTTACCAGCCCTGGGTCATTGAGCCCTTATAAGCTGGCACAGAAGCACTGGGCCACTGAGCCCTTATACACTGATTCAGAGCTTGGAGGTACAGACCCAGTGCTGGCTATGATTCCATGAAGGACACGGGGTGGGGGTACTTCAAACAACAAACAAGCGATCATAGTTCTGGAGGCTAAAGTTTGACATTAGGGTGTCTGCAGCACCCCATTCCCTGGAAGGTGCTGGAGGAAGGTCCTTTCCTGCCTCTCCTCGCTCCTGGGACCCCAGCAGCCCTTGGCATTCTTCCCTCGGCTTCTGGATGTTGCCAGTCTCTGTCCCCATCTTCACATGACCATCTTCACTCTGTATCTCTGGCAGCCTTTTCTCCTTCTCATCAGATACTGGATATGATTCTTTCCCACCAATCCTACTGGGTCAGGACACCACCCAAGAATGGCTCCACATTACCTTAACCAGCAACACCTTCAAAGACCCATTTCCAAGCAAATGACATCCTTGCAAAGTATCTGCACTCAAGGGTAGTACTGGGGCTTAGGACTCCAACGTGTACACCTGGGGGACACAATTCAGTCCCTACAGCGGGCAGTCTTGCACAACCTCCCAGGACACGTTGTCCTCCCAGGATTGTTTTTCCTTCTTCTCACTCAAATAGTTGAAAATTTGTTTATTGGACAGAATGAAGCATCAGGCACACGGCCAGGAGGGTGGTCAAGACTGGCAGGTGGTGGCAGTGATGTGGGAAGTCCACCACGCTGCTAATCACAAGATGCTCCAAGCTCTACAGACTCACAGCACGCCCAGGACGATTACGGTTCATTGCTGTGCCTCATTTCCTCACACTGCACGGACACTGGGTTTTGTTTAGTTGTTTCATTTGGGTTTTGCTGATATAAACTGAAGACCTGCAGCAGCCCTGCATCAAGCAATTCTCCTGGTGCCATCTTCCTCAGGGCACATGCTCACGTCACGTCTCTGTGTCACAGCTGGTTATTCCCACACTAGTTCAAGCTCTTCTGTCATGCTATGGCACACACATGACAGATCACAGTCAAGAGTACACACAACCTTCATAGGGAAAGCCCGGTGGTCAGAAGGTCAACAGGCATTGCACTGTTGTGCTTCTCAATGTCCTGGGTGTCTGGGACAGGACCGCAGGACCATCTAGGAGTGCCGGTGTCTGGACTAAGGATGCAGTAGCCAACGAGGGGATTGTGGAGAAGACACTGGTGAGGGTGCTCCGGCAGTGTGCCCGCCCCTCACTCCTTGCCCTGGGGTGAATCTTATTCTCAGACCAAATCAAAGTTGATTTACTTGCATCTGAGTAGAGATAACACGAGGCTGAGCCAGGAAGAGCTGGCTAAGGTGCATTATGAACTTTCCAGAATCCTGAGGAAAGCGGACTTGAGGCTACACCCTCCTAGTGTCCACACAAATCCACCATCAAGAAACAGAGGGACAAGAACAGTTCTCTGACCTGAAAGTCACTACGAATCCATGGCCATCTTACCCGAGGAGGCCAGGTGCACGATGGGAAAATCTCACCATCACTATCTGACCTCGGGTGGCTAGTCCCATCTTACTCAACTCTGTGGGTCTGGGCTGGAGCTCAGGGTCAACTTCAGAAAGTACCTTTTCTCCAACTGGGCAGGAGCAGTTGATGGTCTTCAAAAACCCAATCTGTTCACTGCCAGAGGTGGGGGGCTGCTGGGGAGGAGGCGGAGGCTCTGTCACGATGGTCACCTGGCACTGGAAGGAAAGCCTGGTGGTCAGAATCTGGCTTCAGCCCGGCAGCCAGCCTGCAGCACCCAGCAGGGATGACACCACCTGCCGGGGGCTGCACACCGCAACAGTCACAATCACAGGGCACATGGATGATCGCTTAACCCTTCCACGCTGACCACCCCAGGCTTCCATTATGGAGCTAGGACTTGGCCAAGGACACTGAGGCAGGGCGGTCAACGAAGGCAAACTGCATGTCCTGGTCACATGCTCCTCCCGCCCACTCACGCTGACCATCCCTAAGCACTCCCTTGCCCCACCTGTCTCATGTGCTGGAGCACCCCCCTCTGCCTGCAGGGATCCCTAAAGCGAGGCCTCATAGCTCCCATGGAAGCCTCAGGGTCTCCTGACACACAGACCTGCCTGCCCTCCCAACAGGCCTCATTTGACCAGGAAGAGGTGGCCCAGCGATGCTCACAGACTCTTCTGATCACATTCTGACCACGGACTCCATGTTCTTAACCTTGACAGCCACCCCCTTACAAAGCCCGCCCATCCCTTCTCCCTTCCCCTGATGAAGGTCAGGCTCACCGGACCAGAAGGGATGTCACAGCAAGTCTCCAGCTCAGCATGTCGCGAGTCACAGTAAATGACAATCCACTGCAGGTCAAACTGGGGGAAGTCAGGACACAGGGTGAGTTTTCAGGGCTCTGGGACCTGGACATCTCCACAGCCCTGCCCGGGGCTCCACATGCTGCCTCCTGATCTGGCCTCTGGCCACTGTCTCCCCTGAGTCCTCTGCTGAACTCGAGGGAGTTTTGCTGGGGTGGTCTGTAGGGAGATGTGCTGCTAAGCCAAAGGCCACACCTCTCTGGCAGTTCAACTCCATCAACAGCTCCATAGAGGAAAGAGGGACTATCCTTCCCTTGTTATTTACAGCCTCAGAAAGCCAAGAGCAGGTCAGATACGAGTGGTCCCAAGCCACCAGCACTGAATGAGAGAGTGGGAGAATGAGAGAGTTTGTGTGTGTGTGTGTGTGTGTGTGTGTGTGAGAGAGAGAGAGAGAGAGAGAGAGAGAGAGAGAGAGAGTGAGAGAGAGAGAGAGAGAGAGAGGCAGTGAGTAAGAGAGAGAGTGAGAGAGACAGTGAGTAAGAGAGTGAGAGAGAGAGGCAGTGAGTAAGAGAGAGAGTGAGAGAGACAGTGAGTGAGTGAGAGTGTAAAGCACCATCCAAGAGACGGGTGGTGCAGTGTTTAAGCACCTCACTGCTCACCAAAAGGCTAGTGGTCCGAACCCTCCCCCACCCCCTCTGTGGGAGATGGATGAAGGGGCCTAATCCTCTGAGGGTTACTGCCCAGGAACTCAACAGGGGAATTCTCATCTGTCCTGTGAGTCACAATCAACTCCACGGCAGTGGGTCTGGTTCTAGGTTGTGAAGCATCACCTATTTGCACCCCCTTCCGCAAACAAGGATGCCAAGGGCAGGAAAAGCAGGGCATCAATCAAAGGCAGGGGAGGAAGGGCATCGACCAAAGGCAGGCGAGGTAGGGCAAGGGCAGGGGAGGAAGGACATCGGTCAAAGGCAGGCGAGGTAGGGCAAGGACAGGGGAGGAAGGACACTGGTCAAGGCAAGGTCTTATTTTACTCAATGAATACTGTGGCCTTGAGCTCATAACAAACAGATGCTACCTCCTTCTTCCATTCTTTCTGTTAGCGTGATTATTTTCAACTTTGTCCCACGGTTTGTGTCAGTGTTTATAGAGTTAGTTTCCTTTCAACAATTTATCCGCGTTTTGACTTGTGATATTAATCACAAAGTCCATAAAGTAGAAACCCTCTTCCCATTCCCTCTCTGTGTCTCCTGTTTCCACCTGCCCTTTCTCTTCTCCTGTCCTGTCTTCTGAGCCTGATCCCGGGGCAAAGGCTGCCCCTTTGTCCGCACATGGCTGGTTGTTTAGAGAGCGCATTGCTTGCTGGCGTTACCGCTCGTGTGTTAGGCCACCGCGTTTCCTTCAATGGAGCTCCTCCTCTGCCGAGGTGGAACGCAGGGAGTGATGAATGAACGAACAGCATGAGAAGCAACAGCTGCAGGTCACTTCTCTTACACAACAGTGTCCCTGGCCTGACGCCACCCCTCGCCCTTCCAGGCCCATGTCTGATCCCAGAGCGCCGCAGCAGAGCCGTCTAGGCTGCTGGCCAGCTGCTGATGTCAACCTCTCCGTTTTATAAAACACCCCCATGAGCTAACCTGATCACCGACTCTTCTCAGAGGCAAGAATGGCAATTCCATTCACTCGTCTATCTGGCTTCAAGCAGAGCCAGCGGGCCAGAAACAGGAGAAAATGGAAAGACGGTAAAAATCCCGACTCCGAAGGAGGCCTGTTTCAAAGGGCCAGGCCTGTGTTTGTCAGCAGTGGCCGTGTGTCCAGAGCAGCTGATCCCACATCAGGGCTGTAGGGACTGATGTCAGAGAAGAGGAGGCAGAGGGGCTGAGGCAGGGACCAGAGAGGGAGGCGGCCAGAGCGGCGTGAGATGGCCTGGGAACCGTGAAGGGGTCTCTCTTCAACAGCCCGGCACACCCCCACGCCCCACCACACTGTTCTTCCTCTTTCTCTTTCGGTCAGAGGTCCCAGTGTTTAGTACCAAGTTGTTGCTGTTGTTGTTATGTGCCGTCGAGTCGCCTGCGACTCATAGCCACCCTATGTACAACAGCTCTAAACTCCGCTCTGTCCTGTGCCAATCGCACTGTCTCTGACACTCCCATCCCAATTATCCCACTCACTGAATCAATCCACCTCATAGAGGGCCTTCCCCTCCTGTGCTGTCCCTCCACCCTCCCAAGCATGATGTCCCTCTCCAAGGACCGGTCTCTCCTCACAACATGTCCAAAGTATGTTAGATGGAGCCTCAGAATGCTTGCCTCCAAGGAGCCACCCGGTTTAACCCTTTCCAGGACAAATCTGTTCGTTTTCCTAGCAGTCCATGGTATTCTCAGTACTCTTCTCCAGCACCACAGCTCAAAGGCATCAATTCTCCTTCTATCCTCCTACTAGTACCAAGTAGATAATTAAAATCAATGGAGAGAAGGAGAGGAGACCAAGTTTCACATCGTCCCCAGACCCCAAATCAGCCAGGGCGTCCAGGCCATCCTGACTCCTGGAAGCCCAGCTGTCTGTCCCTCAGGACTTTTAAGGCCATCATGACCTCTGCAGAAGCAGGCTGCCATGTCTTTCTCCCTGGGAGAGGCTGGTGAGTTAGAACTGCTGACCTTTGATTAGAAGCAAGTGCTTTAGCCATTGAGCCACCAGGACTCCTTCAGACTCCACAATATGAGGCTCATAACGGTGGCACCGGGCACGATGGAGAGCCAGTATCCTCCCCTCTCAGGCAGGCCAGACTAAGACACAGGCCCACCAGACACCTATGCTCCCTTACAATCTGAAACTCAGCGTGTAAGCGGCTCCCTCTGGGCCCGAATTCCCTCCCTGACCAGGAACAAGAAGGCTAAATGAGCCCTGCCGCTGTGGGAATGGAAAGTGGGCACAGACATCAGCCACCAGGAACACAGCACCTGGAAACCTAAACCCTAAAACGTCAATCTGGCTCCTGGAGAACTTCGACTGCGTTTCCCCGCCCATATAAATCTTTAGGGAAGAAAACCGACTCTCTCCCAAGAACCGGTGGATTTGAACCACTTTTTAGTTAGTAGTCTTTGCAATTACTTGTCATGCATCAGACAGCTGGATAATGACTAGGGAAGATAGAAGGAGAGTTGATGCCTTTGAGCTGTGGTGCTGGAGAAGAGTGTTGAACGTACCATGGACTCCTAGGAGAACAAACAAGTTCATCCTGGAGAAGGTAAGACCAGGCTGCTCCTCGAAGGCAAGGATCTGAAGCTTCATCTGACCTACTTTGGACTTGTTGCAAGGAGGGACTAGTCCCTGGAGAGGAACATCATGCTTGGGAGGGAGGAAGGACAGTGCAGGAGAGGAAGACCCTCAATGAGATGGATCAATTCCACGACTGGGGTAATGGAGATAAGTGTGTCAGAGACAATAAGGTTGGCACAGGACAGAGCAGGGTCCCTATGAGTCGCAGGTGACTCAATGACACATAACAACAGCAACTGACACAGAGCCAAATAATGGACACACTGATGAGGAGAGCAATGACACCTAGAAGGCACTCACTCCTTGTAACAACCAATCACACAAGATCAAAAGCATAGCCTTTGCCTAGGGAGAAAGATCAGAAGGCAGAAAAAGCTGGGTGATGAACGGAAATGGGCATCACAGGAAGGGGGTGGGCAGCAGGCTGTTACATAGTAGGGACTGTAGTCAGTGCCCGGACATAAAATCTAAAGAAACGCTCAGGTAGAAAGTCAATGTGCTCTGTAAATTTTGACTCAGTGCACAAGTAAACTTAATAAGTAGGACCTTCAAATGGAGCAGGAAGTGTACCAAGGTACTGTCCTTTAGGGAGAACTTTGCAAATGTGAGAAAGAGAAAATGACATGCCTTTGTTGTATCCTGTTCTGGGCAGCTCTGCCTGTAACGGGGATCGCTGGGGACAGTCTGAATCTCACAACAAGAGAATGCATAAACAGAAGGCATAATAGATACCACAGCGTGGCGCAGCTGGAAGAAGGAATAAACTCTCAATCACTTTCCATACAAAGTGCTGTGATCCACATACACGTCTGCACGTCAGCACCACTCTGGAGAGCTCTGGCGGCCGAGCGGTAAGGAGCTGCATGGCCTTCCCAAAGGCATGAGGCTGGAATCAACCAGCTGCTTCACAGAAGAAAGATGGGCCGTCTCTTCGCATGTAATTTACTTACAGCCTCTGAAAACCCACTGAGGAGTAGCTGTGAGTCGGTTCCAGCTCCAGGGAACACAACAGACTGCAGACGTGCACGTGTGTATATAAAACTACAAGAAATGGCTTTGGGGTGTACTCAGCCCAGATCATGACTCTTGGTATTTCCGGGAGGTGGGAGTGCACCCAGGCAGGGCAGACGTGGGGGACCACAGCTGTAGGTTCTAACTCCCACAGAGCACACAGACCAGCCCGCGCCCTCTGCGTGGGTGCACACTTACGGCTCATGTGTTCGCGTCTGTAGACAGATGTGTATTTCTGCTGGAAAGGGGGGATGGGAAAGGAAGGGCTTTGAAGGAGCAGAGACAGGGGTGCAGGGGCACGATTCCACACGGCTGTTAGGACCGCTTCAGGACCCCTGTTCGAACAGGGATCAAACACTTCCCTTTTAACCAGGACGGTGGCGATTCTGACCCACCTGTGAGAGTAAGTTGAGGTGGTGGGCTTCTGGAAAAGCTGCAGCCTAGGAAACTCCTGGGACAGTGCCACTGTCCTGTCACAGGAGGGCTACGAGGCAGAATCAGCTCACAGGGAACCAGCTTTGGGGGTGTGTGTGTGTGTGTGTGTGTGTGTGTGTGTGTTTGGTGTACCATTGGTTGATGCAATAAGAAAGTTTTCTCTCTCATATATTTTCTACATATAGAAAACAAAAGGAGGAAACCTCTATTTAAATGTACAAGGTCTTTTCTCTGTTTGTTAACCATCACTCCACATCCCCTCATGACACAAATTCTTAAGAGTTGGAGGAACAAGGGAAGGTCTGCTGCTTCCGACCGCCCGAGCCTCAGGAGACAGGCCTAGTTGGTGGGCATCTTCCAAGAAGAGGTCCCTGCCGAGAAATGCCGTGGGCACTTCTGCTCCCAACACATGATGGTACAGGAGCTGACCCAACAGCCGTGAAGGCCATCAAGGAGCTGCCTGTCCGCACACCGCATATCTAAGACCAGCATGGAGCTGTCTGTCCGCAGTCTATCTTTCTAAGACCAGCATGGAGCTGTCTGTCTGCTTGTCCACCTGTTTGCAGGCCGCCTTTCTAAGGCCAGCATGAAGCCACCTGTCCACCCACCCACAGGCCACATGTGTAAGACCAGCATGAAGCCGCCTGTACGCCCATCCACAGGTCGCATGTCTAAGGTCAGCATGGAGCTGCCTGTCCACCTGTCCTCAGGCCACCTTTCTAAGAGGTGGACACTATCCTCCTCTAGAACGGAGCAGCCAGGGCCACGTCGGCCAAGCTGTCCTCTGTGGGTGACGTGCTGAGCACCAGTAGGTGTCCAGCACATGTGCAGTGAATGACTGGATAATAAATAAACAAATAAAAATCAAGATGGAGAGAGAGGAAAAGAGGCAGAGAAAACGCGAGGGGAGGCGGGGGAGTTAGGGGCGAGAGCGGTGTGTCTGGGTGTCACTGTGGCAGGCTCTGGGGTGGGGTTCTCCCCTCTGAGGCCCCCGAGGTGTGGAGGAACGGGCCTGGTACTCACGTCAATGGGGACGCTGTCGTAGAGGCGCTTGCCGATGACCGTCTTCCCACGGATGTCGATGTTCTCACGGGCCTCGATGGGCAGCGTCTGCACCAGCGCGCAGTCAATGTACAGGGACACGCTCTGGCCCTGGACGCTCAGGGCCATCTTGTGCCAGTTACGGTCAAAGAGGTCATCGACCCGGGGTCCTCGGAAGACCACCCTGACGGCATCCTCCATGACGCCCACGGAGTTGTACTCCACCGCCTTGTTCTCGCCGTCCAGCCGGATGGAGACCTGGGGGGAGCAGGACCAGAGACTGCTGAGCTTCACGGGATTAGGGGCAGCGACGGCTTTCAGGGTGCGGCAGACCCAAGTTCAAATCCTGGTTGGGACTCCACCCTACCTCCCACACTTGGGCAGATTACTGTTCAGTTTGGAGCCTTCAGGTTCTCCTCAGCACGTGGTGTTTATATTGCCACTTGTTTAAAGTACATTATTATATGGAATAACTGGAGCCCTCTGTGAAGGTTGCGCTCCTGTGTCATCTTGGCCAGGCTTTGGTGCCCAGGTGTTGGGGCAGACACTACTCTAGATGGTGTGTGGGTTAGGGGTGGGGAGTGTATTCTATAGATGTGACTCACTCACGTCCCTCACCTGCTGACTTTCTGTTAAGATGCTGACCCCCCTCACCCGGGTGAGTGGGCCCTGAGCTGGCTGCGGCCTGCACCCAATCGATGGTCACACATGTGTGGTGTGACCTTTGTTTAGCCTTTCTGTGCTATTACCCTATTTGTAAAATGTGGCCAATCGCAGCATCTACACTATGAAGGGTGAGGTTTCTATGGTGGTTATAAACACAAATCACTCTGTTGTGTTAGGTGCTCCCAGAGTCGGTTCTGACAGCTACCCAAGTACCAACAAAGTCCTGCAACACCCGTGCCATCGCTGAAGCACTGGGCTGGAGCAGAGTAGCGACTGGGAGGTGAGGCTGGCACAGTACCAGGTGGCCACAGGTAGTTGTTGCTGCTGTTAAGTGTCATCGAGTCACACACAGTGACCTTGTGAACAACAGATCTGAACTCCGTCCTGTCCTGCGCCATTGCCATGCTCTGACACACCTGAGCCCATTTCAGCAGTCACTGTGTCAATCCATCTGATTTGGGGTCTTCCTCTCTTTTACTGTTCCTCCGCCTTTCCAAGTAGGATGTTCCTCAGAAGATGCTCAAAGTACGTGAGATGAAGCGTCACCATCTTACCCTCCAGGAAGCATTCTGCCTGAACTTTGTCTAAGACACATCTGTTTGTTCTCTCAGCCGTCCATGAGATGCTCAGTGCTCTTCTCCAAATCACAGCTCAAAGGCGACAATTCTTCCTCTGTCATTCTTTGTCATTGTTCAGCTTACAAATGCATATTAAGTGATGGAAAAGACCATGGCCTGAATCAAGTGCACCGTAGTCCTAATGACAGGTAAAAGGCTCAGGATTTGTAAGCATTTACAATTCAACACACACATCTGAAGCTTCACCATCCTCCCTGACACACACACAGCCACATACACATGTACACACACACACACATTTCAGTCTTATCCACTTCCTCCCTGTCCATTGATCATTTTTCTGAAGTTGGATGGATGCCCCTCAGTTTTCTCAGAAGACAAATCGGAAGATGACAACTGTAGAGGGTGACTGCAAGTACACTAAGGTCATGTCTCTGAAACGGCCTCACGATGGGCGGTCAGTGCGCCGTGTGGGGGTGTGATTATCCACACGGCTCTGCTCACACAGGAATGTGGTCTGCCTTCCTGCAGGTCTGCATTGATTTTCCCTGTGTCTAGCCAGCGTTCCCTCAAGACACGGAGGTGGCCATGGGCATGTCCACTGCACAGACTCAACCAAGACTTGTGTGATGTAACGAATGGAATTGCCAGCTGTGTTCCTGGAAATGAGGCTGAAGTCCTGGAAGCCAACCACCCGGGGTATTCTAGGCCCTGTTCATTCTGCCAGAAAGGGCCTGGGGGATACATTGCTCGGCCAGCACCATGAAAGAGGAGAACCCAGACTGAGGGGGCAGACCCCGCTCACCCCACAAGTATGGAATGTCAGAGCAGGTGCCCAGTCCACCAGCCAGACCCTGAGGAAGTGGAGATGCAGGACCTGTGTAATTAGAAATGAGGTGGACGGGAACCGGAGGACCTGCCTACTCCACAGAAAAGGGGCCCTGGAGAGAATGCAATCCCCTCCATCCATCCTCCCACACTTTGGAAGCCAAGCCACTGGCAAGCAAACCCAAAAATATGTATGCATCCGGATCTGGCCCAGGACGCTACAGAAAAATCCACCTGCAGGGCCAGCTGGTAGGCTGCAGCAGAGCAGAGGTGTAGATCAAGCGGGTTAATAGCAAAGACATGGGAGCTTGATGGCTGTGCCTTAAATCCCAGCTGTCCCGGACCACTTCCGCAAACAGGCAACGTCTCAAACTGGGACTCCGCTTCCTCCTTCAGAAGCTGCTCACAGTAGAAGCTACTCAGGACGCTGCTGTGAGGACTAGAGAGCTTACGATCTATGCAGCACGGAGAACTGTCCCGAGCTCACAGGGAGTGCTACAGAGGAGCCCGTCACGAAATTGTTCAATATCAGGGTCTAGATTTAACTGCAGGACAGAGTTCAGCTTGCAGATCCTCTGTCTCTCAAATTGCCATCCGTGAGTGTGGGTACTGGAGTGCAACATCTCAAGGCCATTTTTACTTCACTTTAATTCCAAACTAAAATACCATAAGTATCTGCCAGCTGAAGATGAGCTGTGTCTCCACATAGTTCATGTTCCAGGAGAGGTCAAGGCCAATGGCAGACAAAGATGTGGCGGCACCATGAACTGTGCAGACAACAGAAGGTCAAAGCAGCTGGGACGCTGCACGGTCCAATCGGCGGGCCACAGTCATGTCTGTGGGGCTTAGATGTGGCTTCCCTCCTTAATCTGCCATGTGCTGTTGATGTTCTGTCTTCCTGAGAGCGAAAGTCAAAGCCCACCACAAGTAGATGAAGGAAAGGGCCTCAGAGCGTGTGTCCAGGGCAGACAGGAGAGTTTCAGAAGGAGGAGGTACCTTAGAGAAAATCTTTTTTTCTGTCACAGTTGGCAGGGCTGCCACAGAGGGACCATGGTGGGTGGTCCTGGCGAGCACATGTTGATCATCCCACCACTTTGGAGGCTACAAGTTTGAATTCCCACTCTACAGAGGAGCCGGATCCTTGACTTGTGGATGGACAATCCTCGTTCTTTTTTTCTTTATAAGACAGTGTTCTGAAATCATTAGGGTTCAGACTCACCATGCTCTGAATGCCATCATTTTATAATGGCAAACAAGGTTATTTTTAGAGGACCCCATTTCTCTTGGGGGGACACAGTTCATCCACTGTATTGTGTATGAGGTACTGTCCTGGAGGTCTGTGGACTGTTTCAAGGGATCCTTTTATTGATTGTTCTTGGTTGACAACCTCAGTTCTGATTTACAGATAAGGAAAGCCCGACTCCGAAAGATAAACCAGTGGTCTCAGAGCCCACAGTGGAAGGGGGTCTGGAAACAGGCTCTGATGCTAAATCAGGAGCTTCACAAGGGGAAGCCCTCACCTGGGGAGTGTCCTCACCTGGGGAGTGTCCTCACCTGGGGGTGTGTCCTCACCTGGGGGAGTGTCCTTACCTAGGGGAGTGTCCTCACC